GTTAGCTTGTACTAACTGAATGTGTAACTCTACATTTGTTTCTCTACCTTGATCTTCCATAATCTCCCAGCTAGATTGGAATCTTGTCTTTTTATGTTGTCTGTGGGTCAAACCTGAACTGCTTTGGTACAGTACATTTCTATTTTTGTGTGTTTTTTCTTCATTCATCCATATTTCACACTACAACATAGACATCACTTTCTACTTTCTATTACTGTTCTTTAACCTAGTTAGATCAGCTTCATTATGCAATATTATGTACGGTTATGAAGACTATGTATGATTATGTGAAAACTAATATGGTTATGAAGATTATGTATGGTTATGCTCCGCATACCACAAAGCCAAGAAAATAAATATTTCCTGTGAAAATAATATGTAAAAAGCTACACTTTAATACATTTATTTATGGTCCGATTTGCATCATATTATTGAGAACTTACCACTTTGTACCTGGTGGCATATCTCGTTAATTTCTGCAATATGATGACAGTAAGAGAATGGGTAGTTACTGTGTAATTACTATGTACAAAGTCTTTATTTTACAGTCCTACTATCATAGCATTGCAGAAATTAATATGGAACAAATTACTTCATTGGAATAAAGGTACTTCCTTACTTTCCTCAATCATGTTCTTCTCTAATACACATGTATGTAATTGCTGATGAAATGTTTAAGATTAAAAAATAATAATACTTGGTATTTATCATATTATTTACTGTGTACTATCAATTACATTACAACAGACTTATTTACTTGTTCTTAATAAGAACACATAATTGTTCTTAATAAGCATATAATCATTACAGGATAGGACTGGAGAGGATCATTGGACGTAGCCTGCCAAAGCTTCAGGACATCTACAGCAACAGGGTGATGAAGCACACCAGCAAAATAACAGCTGACCCAGCACTTCCCTCTGATAGAAGATTCAGGACCATCAAAGCCAACACAACCAGACATGCTAACAGCTTTTTCCCCAGAGCTGTAGTGCTCATTAACCACAGTGGTCACCTCGCACTTTAAACTTTAACTACACTAAACAAACTTTCTTACTATATTACAGTAACTTCTCTGTAATATAACTATATTTGCACAAATGTACATAAGTTACATTTCTGCAAATATTCAAATAATCCTATATTCTATATATAATACAACCCCATTTCAAAAGAAGTTGGGACAAAAACAAAATGCAATGATGTGCAAATCATTTACACCCTATATTTTATTGAAAATAGTACAAAGACAATAGATCAAATGTTGAAACTGAGAAATCTTTTTATTTTTTTGAAAAATATATGCCCATTTTGAATTTGATGCACCACATTCCAAAAAAGTTGGGACAAGGGGCAACAAAGGGCTGGTAAAGTTGCGTAATCCTAAAAAAAACACCTAGTGGTTAATTGGCAACAGGTCAGTAAATTTACTGGATATTAAAAAAGGATCTCTGAGAGGCTGAGTCTTTCAGAAGTAAAGATGATGAGGGGTTCACCACTCTATGAAAGACTGTATGGGCAAATGGCACAACAATTCAATAACTTTTGCTTTTCATCATCTACGGTATATAATATCTTTAAAAGATATCTCTGTATGCAAGGGACAAGGCCAAAAAACAGTGTTTACTGGCCATGATCTTTGGTGGCACTGCTTTAAAAATGATTCTGTAGTGGAAATCACTGCATGGGCTCAGAAAAACTTCTGAAAACCACTGTCTGTGAAGACAGTTTGTCGCTGCATCAACAAATGCAAGTTAAAACTCTGAAACACAAAGAAGAAACCATATATAAACAGGATCCAGAAATGCTGCCCCCTTCTTTGGGCCCAAGCTCATTTAAAATGGACTGAGGGGAAGTGGAGAACTGTCCTGTGGTCCAACAAATCAACATTTGAGATTCTTTTTGGAAATCATGGACACTGTGTCCTCTGGGATAAAGACCACTCGGCTTATTATCAATACGCAGTTCAAAAGCCAGCATTCATGATGGTATAGTGGTGCATTAGTGCACATGGCTGTGAAGGCATCATTAATGCTGAACGATATATACATGTTTTGCCAATATGTGCTGCCAACCAAATGACATTTTTATTCAGGGAAGGCCTTGCTTATTTTAGCAAACAATGCCAAACCACATTCTGCACATATTACAACAGCATGGCTCTGCAGTGAAAGAGTTCAGGTGCTAACCTGGATTACCTGCAGTCCAGATCTGTCACTCACTAAAAACATTTGCCACATAATGAAATTAAAAATACCACAAAGGACACCCTGAATTGTTGAGCAGCTGAAATCCTGTATCAAGCAAGAATGGGACAACATATCACTTTTAAAACTACAGCAATTGGTCTCCTTAGTTCCTAAACACTTACAGAGTGTTGTTAAAAGAAGAGGTGATGAAACACAGTGGTAAACATGCCCCTGTCACAACTTTTTTGGAACATGTTGTTGGCATCAAATTCAAAATGGGCACATATTTTTCAAAAAACAATAAAGTTTCTCAGTTTCAACATTTGATATGTTGTCTTTGTACTATTTTCAATTAAATATAGGGTTTAAATGATCTCCGCATCATTGCATTTTGTTTTTATTTACATTCTGCACAGCATCCCAACTTTTTTGGAAATGGGGTTGTAAATTCATGACTAAACACACTTCTCCCAACCTCCTTCTGCTCTCACCTCAGAACATTCCTACTTCTGGCCCATAAGTCTGAAGTCCTTTTTGACTAACATTTTAAGAGTGACATTAAAAAAGGAAGGCATTCCATTAAACATCCTGAGGAGACTTTTGGACCTAACCAGAGTAAATTCTGGATACAAAATAAGTTATGGCTTTTTTGAAATTCCTGTCCCCCTCTCACATACACAAATCTCATCTCCCCCACAAAAAAGAAAGACATCTGGCCTTAGAACAGATAGGAAAGGCAAAGATGGCACCACTAATCAACTTGGGTTGAGGGACTGTTGAGAACTCATGAGTGACCTAGTTCATTAATGATGAGTTACTATAGGTTTCACTTTATAATGTTCCTTATCATCATTAAGTCCTAATAAAGAACACAGTGACACCTTGTTTATTAGCAATGAGTTACAATCTATTTTACTTTATAATGTTGTTCCTGAAGATCATTAACTCATAATGAAGGGCAGCAGCACTTCCTTCATTATCTAACGGATTACATAATCACTTGGTAATATTTAAAACCAAGTGAATTTGAAAGTAGGACACATACACAACCATGTATTTCTATGAGCCCTCTCTTTAACTGACCCTCCCCTAAAGAGGACTACAAGAGGACTACTGTTCAGAAGAAACAACACTTGCACACATGCTCCTGTAGAAGATATGATGTATTCTTTTCTAAAGGTGAGAGGTAAACAGACTGGACTACTGAAGACTGCAATATTTTAGTAGTTGTCTCATTTGTAGGCTGATCTGCAAATTTGTTCACACTGCCAAATATGAAGATGTGCATTAGCCTTTTAGTCAAGACAAGTCAAGAGGCATTTATTGTCATTCCATCTGTGTACAAGTACATAGTGGAGCGAAATTACGTTCCTCCAGGACCATGGTGCAACATGGAACAAAATAGACAGTACAGACAAAGTGCAAATGTGCAGATGTAAGTGTGTAAAACATTAAACTAGAAACAATATAGTAAGTACCATAAATAAAACATACATTGTACACAGTAAACAGACAGCACAGTGGCGTGCCGACACAGCACACTTTTAAGGTTTCTGATCAAAACAAACACATGAGGGACACCAGTCAGTACAGTGTGGTGTGATCCCCCAGCCTTCTCTGAGGATACCTGTTTCCATGAATTATAATGGAGGACATAACCCTTTACATTGTAGAGACTGCACACTGTGTAGTGTATTTCAATACTGTTAGAAGTGTTGGAATACACTACATCCTTTAGTAGGTCACCAGTAATTAATGAGTAATTATTATGAGAAACTATAGTGACCAAGTAATCATGTGTGAGACTCAGTAGTTAATCCTTAGTTAACAGTGATCTACGCTAATCATTAGTTCACTATTACCTACTGAGTAATTAACTAGTAGTCCTTGGTAGTTGACAGGAGTTACTTAAGTTTTAATGCAGCACTACTCATCCATTCCTGCTTAGTCCCTGATTAGTTACTTATTAACTGTGAAATAGTACTCTAACATTACCAAAAACTCTTCAAATCTACATGATTTGCAGGACATTTATCACTATAACAGTGAATTTAGACAAAAGGTGACGAGTCTGCATGTTTGTGATTTGAATGTAATCCTGCTGGTAATCATCTCATTTTTAGAATGTTCCTATAATCTGATTACTGTCTTTTTTACTGTAACTGATTACAGTTACTTTTATGTTGTCCTAATTACATGTATTCCCTTACTACCCAGCCCTGTTCATCATGGATAGAAAGCAGTTTATTTCTCTCTGGCCTTATTTCAGCAACTTCAAGGGTCACAGGGTCAGTTATCAGGCTTCTGCTCTTTATTACTTACATACTTCCCCTCAGACAGAACATATGAAGTTTTAAACTGGACGTTTTGCAACACAGATGACACCCAAATTTATCTGGGGACCTGCCTGAAACACAAATTTCTCAGCCAATTTGCTAACCATTCCTCCATCCAACCTTCACCGTTTTGGTAACTGAGCATTTTCTAGATTTGCTCCTCTGGAATTGTCTGATGATTTCTGTTTGATTTGTTTCATTTTCTGGCTGCAATTTACCTTCAAATCTATTCTACCTTCTCATTACAACTCTACCTTGTCCTCTACTCTGTTGCCTCTCTATAGTGTTTGCTTGTCTTCTCATGTGTTATTATTATTATTATTATTATTATTATTATTATTATTATTATGCGTGGTAGTAGTAGTAGTATTAAAACAGTTTGTAACAAATGTAACAAAGTATGAGAGGTAGAAAGATGGGAAAATCGGAAATAATTTAAACTTGTTGAATATAACCAAAGTTGAATATAGCTTACCTGAGCAGATGACTCCAGCATCTTTAGAATGATCACAGTTATGTTTTCTCCATTCAAATGTTGAACAGTTTTTCAGTGTAGACTCTGATCCACTACAGTCCACATCATTCATCCAGATTGGTCCTGATCCTGGTCCAAAGTGACCATCACTCAGTGCATCTACAGCCTCTCCACAGCGCAGCTCTCTACACACCACTGCAGCATCTCTCATATCCCAGCCATCATCACACACTGTTCCCCACTGTCCTCTATGAAGAACCTCCACTCTCCCAGCACAGCGACTGCTACCATTCACCAACCTCACACTGTCTGTACAACAGAAGTACAACAGAGACAGTGAGAGTGAGAAAGAGTACACGATGGAGAAAGAGCGAGAGAGAAAGAGAAATTGACATATAGGCACAATCGTAGTTATTACAACAAAAATAATATTAACTGTAAAAAATGCAGCACTTACCAGCACATACCAGCCCCACATCATTGTCATGGGTGCAGTTGTCTTTGAGTGACGATGATGTTGAACAGAAGTGAATCTGAGATTCGTTGCCTCTACACTGAAGCCCCTTTGACCACACCTGACCCTCCCCTCTGCCAAAAGCAGCTGCTCCCAGCACCTCCACAGGAAGCCCACAGCCCAGCTCTCGACACACAACCTCTGCATCCTGCTGGTTAAAGTCAGCATCACACACTGTGGACCGGGTCTCTCCATGAAGCACCTCCACTCTCCCAGAGCAGCGAGAACCACCAACCAGCCTGACTCCTAAAATTTTATCATGAGTGAAAAGAGAATATTCTAGTGGATCGCTTACTGATTAATAAGTATTAGTATAAAGCATTGAAATAAAAGTATTTGATGAATGGTCTTAAATGTCTCGGGGGAAAAAAGAAAACTTAAAAAGTGTATAAAAACATTATGAAATATGTACATTTACGGATGTTTAGGTAAAGGGTTTCAAAATATGTTATGTTTTCATTAACATAAAGCAAATGAAATGCTGATCAGATAAGCAGACTGATTGATTTTTACATTAAGGTTTAGAGTAACTTACCTGAGCAGATGACTCCAGCATTTTTAGACTGGTCACAGTTATTTTTGCCCAATCCTAAAGATCTACATTTTTTCAGTGTAGACTCTGATCCACTACAGTGCACTTTATCCATCCAGATCGGTCCTGATCCTGATCCAAAGTGACCATCACTCAGTGCATCTACAGCCTCTCCACAGCGCAGCTCTCTACACACCACTGCAGCATCTCTTATATCCCAGCCATCATCACACACTGTTCCCCACTGTCCTCTATGAAGAACCTCCACTCTCCCAGCACAGCGACTGCTACCATTCACCAACCTTACACTGACTGTGCAGATAGAAAGAAAGGGAGTGAGAGAGAAAAAGGAAGAGAAATGCATACATATTCATGCAGCTCTAGACTGTTATCATAATTGTGAAATTTTCATTCGTTTTTATATTTATTATTTGTGTAATTATTTACTGTTTTCAGTTTATTTCAGTTCATTGTAAGAGTGAATACATTTATTTTAATTTAATTTATTTTTTATTTTGTTTCAGTTTTAGTTTTTAATATTTATTATGCAAACTATGATGAGAGGAAGTATCTGACAAGAATAGGATAAAAATTGCATGAATATAAATTTATGACATATAAATTGCAAAACATTTTTTTTGCTATACAACACAATTATTATACACCATCTCTGACTATCTCCTTAAGTTTCTTGACAGTTGTGTTCACATTTGACTCAACTAGACCTTTGACACTGGCCGATGCCAGTGTTTTAAATCTAGGCTCTAGTGCTTTGCAAGATCATTTAAAAAGCAAAAGACTCGCATAGTTTTTTCAACATGTCAATCTCTATAAACATATGCATCAATGATTCTTTACGTTTGTTATGTTGCATTCATAGACCACTTATCATCAAGCACTGAGGTGATGTTTGCTCAATTTTGCCTCCAAACTGGTGTGAGTTGGTGTCGTGGTGTTGGATTAAGATTAATATATGCTGGAAATGTTGTTATGTATCATATATATATATATTGTTTTCATTTGTATTACAGTGAACATGTCACTGCTGTCAGAACAAAACCTTATATCTCCAAAAAGGTAACTTTACAGGACAAGGAAAGATGTTCTTAACTTTAATGACAGTAAATGGAGAATTTTTTTTTTTTTCCAAGTAAATTTGGATCATTCCTGTTAGTCCATCCATTATGAAATTTTGACACAACATAAAAGGCAACTGCCTTTTTCAATTAATGTCAAAAACGTTGAAAAACCATAAAAATAGAAAACTAGAACTAGATAGTAGATACATAGAACATTACTAAAGACACATCAAACATTAGTCAGTCAGAGAAATACAGGAAAAATGATCAAAGATGTAAATCCTACCAGCACACACCAGTCCTACATCACTGTCATGGGTGCAGTTGTGTTTGAGTGAAGATGATGTTGAACAGAAGTGAATCTGAGACTCGTTGCCTCTACACTGAAGCTCCTCTGACCACACCTGACCCTCCCCTCTGCCAAAAGCAGCTGCTCCCAGTACCTCCACAGGAAGCCCACAGCCCAGCTCTCGACATACAACCTCTGCATCCTGCTGGTCAAAGTCAGCATCACACACTGTGGACCAGGTCTCTCCATGAAGCACCTCCGCTCTCCCAGAACAGTGGGAACCACCAGCCAACCTGAACTCTATCATTTTATATGAGAACAGGATCAGTGCTATTTAAAAAAATCTTATTAGAAAGTGCTTACTCAGATTATAGTTACTAAATCATTTAAAAACTTTACAATAATTTTGTTAACAACAGATAAAGGAATATTGAGTATCTGCAACATCTACAACAACATTAGAAGAACTAAAAGAAATAACAGTCTACACTCATTTGAAGATGCATGCAAACCTGAACAGATGACTCCGGCATCTTTAGAATGACCACAGTCATGTTTACCCCATCCTGCTGATTTACAGCTCTTCAGTGTTGACTCTGATCCTCTACAGTCCACATCATCCATCCAGATTGGTCCTGATCCTGGTCCAAAGTGGGCATCACTCAGTGCATCTACAGCCTCTCCACAGCGCAGCTCTCTACACACCACTGCAGCATCTCTCATGTCCCAGCCATCATCACACACTGTTCCCCACTGTCCTCTGTGCAGAACCTCCACTCTCCCAGCACAGCGACTGCTACCATTCACCAACCTTACACTGTCTGTACAACAGAGACGGAATATTAATGTTTGGCCTATTCCAGCACAGCTCTTTAGTAGATGAACAGCATAAATTAAACAAAACATAGCTAACATAAAAGACAGAGTAATCCTTTATCTAATCCATCCCAACGAAACAAGTTTCATTACAGGTAGAAACTCATTCACTAAAACGCATGAACTTCTTAAGCTAATCCACAACTTATCCCTTACAAAATCACAAACAGCAATTGTTTCTCTAGATGCAGAAAGGCTTGAAAAAGGCTTGCCTTTGGAGAATCATTCATAAAATGGATTAAGATTTTATATGCTTCACCAATGGCCACATTTAACACTAATGGGATCATATCACAAGTTTCCACACAACACACAGGTACTAGACAAGGAAGCTCACTCTCCCTTCATTTATTAACCATTTTCATTGAACCATTATTTGCAGTAACATATCAAATATAAATATTAAAGGAATATGTACACAAAATAAAAAAAACTTAAAATCAGTTTATATGTAGAGGACATTTTACTCTTCTAACAAAATTCATCTACCTTAATACCAGAAATTATTCAACTATCAAAAAAAAATCTCTTATCAATTAATATCCTGACAATTAATAAATTATCCTTTTAATTGGACCAACTCTACTATTCTTCCAATATAAAAACACACTTGACACAATTTAAACAATGCCTATCCCTCTTACTAATTATATTGCATATTTGGGCATCGAGATGCCCAAGAATGAAATATTACTGAAATCAAATTAACCACACTATAGCCCTCAACATTTCTCACTCATCAACTACAGTGCATATTATAAACACTAAACCTCTCTTCATGGCTTGAAAAAAAGCATCACACATCTTAAAAAGATACTTTACAAAAACACGTTTTATATACTTTCCACAACTGCCCTACAAATAAAACATTGAGAGAAAACATTTTTATAGAAATCCACCAGATAAGACACTTTCAAAAATCAAACTGCTAGATAACATTGTAGTGACCAGCTACAGGCTGGTACTGGTGTTGAGAGACTCTGGAGGTGTGGTTATGCAGCTGACCCCACACAAAGGCTCATGGTATATGGCACCCTCCGACAAAGAGACTTATTATGTTGTTTAGTGTTGGTTGTTGTTAGTGTAAGTGATGTGTATGTGTTAATGTGTTAATCTGTGTTGGGCAGTGGGGTTATTGTGTAGGTGTTTTGTGATGGGGTTAATCACCATCAGGGAGAAGTGTGTAGCTAGAGGTGACCTCCCCTGTGAGTTTGGTGTTCTGTATATAACTTTATGCTGGTGTATAGAATAAAGATCACTTCTTACAACAGATAATCACTACTTTTGTGTCTTACTTGCTACCAATGTCACATTAGTGTCAGGAGCAGGGTTATGATCCCCCACCAGTGGTATGGGCTTCAGAAACTTCTCAGGCGAACGGCATGAGAGGCAGAACCCAGCAAAGACTGTGATGATGGGGACAATGCTGAGAGGCTCAGGGGGAAGGCAGTCAAGTGAATTTGGTGGCAAGTGAAGGAAGAGTATGTAAATTTACAAAATCAGGTTCCATAGCATATTGTAATATCTGTTCATGCATTTTGTAGGCACTAATGTTGTAATGCCCTATAACTACATATAACATTTTATAGAGGTCATGAAGTGAAGTGAGTTTTTTAATGTCTTTAAAATATTAAGGAATTTTATTTTCAATACCTAATGCCTCATATAGCATTTGAAATGCTCTTTACCAGCTTTAAGTGGAGTGAGACAATCACACATAATGACAATACAGGGCATAATTTGTGTATTCCATTGTACATAGTTCCTTATTAAAAATAGCATCATCAAACAGCTCCACCTTCGAACAAAACCAGTGAGGTTGCTGTATCACAAACCTGTGCTGGGATTTAAGTTCAGTCAGTTCAGCCCCATGACTGCTGCTCCTGAATGTATGATAAGTTATAATTTTGAAGACATTAACGCATATTGTTTGTAAAGTAAAGTCAGCTTTAAATGCAATTACATTGTTAGAAATATCATTAAAATCTGGACACAGAGCAGAGCTGGACACAGCAGAACTCATTTTTAGGATGTTGGTTAGCTAGATAGCAAGCTAACAGGCCATGCAGCAAACATGTAGCATTGCTGATGCAGTGTTGAAAAGTTGAAATTTAGGGGAATAAAAAATGAAGGACTGTCATATAAAAAAAATGCTGGTGTATTTTAGTCACATCAGAATGTTATTGTTAAGTGATTCCAAAGCTGAAAAGGAAAATGTGCATCATTTCAGTCTGATTACGATGCAAGAGACATAAAAAACAGGCTGACTGGAAGAAGCATTATGGCTTGTTTTATTGTTGTATGCTTCCCAGGCTGATGTGAAGTTCACCAGCCCTAGTGTTTGATGGAAAACACCTTTTGCCCTCCAGACTAAATGGACTAAAAGGCCAATGATAGTTTACTGTAACTTATTTGACATGACTTACTTAAGATGCTTCTAAGGCTGATTAGACTTGACATCATTTACTTTTTGATGTACTTCAAGGCTGATGTAAAAGATATCATGTTGAATGATAAGAAATATTCCTACCTCATAAGCTGATTAAAAGGTCAGTGATGACTTTTTTAATAGACAATGGTACAAAAGACAAAATAGATGAAAGTGTCACCCAGTCATCCTTGAGGGTCTGAGCCAAGTGTACAAATTCTGACTTGCACCCATAGAGGATACATACTCAGCTTAGATTTCCTAGTGGCAGCTGGTGCTCTGGGCTTCAACAAATTAAGCTGGTCACAGCAGCTAGTGGCAGGGCCTAGGCAGAGAGTCAGGGCTCCAGCTCACATGAGCAGCACCCTCACATCAATGAAGTGGTGGATAGTGGAGAAAGTGGAGAGTGGCTGAGAGCAGTGCCGTTGCCACTGCTGATACCCTAAATAGCGGCAGACTTGATTAGGGTGAGCTGTAAGAAATCCTGCTGCACTCAAAAGGAGGATGCCGAGCTCTCTTGCCCCTCCACTCCAGTGCGCTATAGTGAACTTGGCTATTTTTAATTTTTAAACTGATCAGAACTTTTGGACAGAGCTAAATATTTAGCTTAAGATACAATGAGCAATCCACAGGCATCAGATATTTGAGGGAAATCCCACTAATAAAGTTTTATGACCGAGAAGGCTCTAAGTACACTATTCCAACCCCCTCATCTGCTCTCTCACCTTATGGCAGCATTGTGTGAGGCAGGGGGCTCACTTCAGAACCATCTTCCCTCTCAACTGACCTAGTAGGTCTGTAGACTTTTGACTTAATGCAAGTAAATTCTGGATACAAACTGAGTTTTATGACTTTTGGAAATTTCCTTCTGCCTTACTCACACACATATATCTCATCTACCCTACAGAAAAAGACATTTGGCAAAAGTCAAATAACACACCAGGCCAGATGAACCTGAGCCTACAATGCCAACCCCTTTCTAAAACCCCTTTTGTCTAAACATGTTAAACATTCCTCAGCAGTCGTAAATCCTTGGGCACGATTAGGCTGTCCCGTTTCAAAGGTTCAATCATATACGGCCGAGAAATGTGACCCTCTTTTCCATGGCAACGAAGGATCCAATGGGTACATCCTTCGCCAGCCAACATATCCCAAGCTCATTGCATGCCGGCGAGGATTCGAGAACTTGGCGGCATCAATACAGAAGCGAACGGTGGCTGAAGAGTACACTTAACACATATAGTGCATATAAGTTAAATATATATATATAAATATAAGTATTGGGTTTAAACTGAGGTGAATGACTAACAATACAAATGTAGAAAAAAAATAAAAAACAAAAAACAAATCTCATCAGTAGCCAGCCGTGAAGCATCTCCAGCTCTAATAAATGAAAAAACAAACAATTAAAATCAAGGTTTCTGGCTCCATCTTTAAAGAACTTTAAAATAACTTGACAGGAGCAGCTTTTCATGATGCAACGGTAAGGGCGGGAACAGCGGTGCTGTGACGCAAACAGAAAATCCGCTGTAGGGCAGACCGTCTCATTTTGGTTCAGCCTTCAGCCTAGTTTTCCATGGCGTCCTTTGTTCTCTCTTACCGCCTGAACCAAAATGGGTAGGTTTAGAATTCTGATATATTTTTCCCACCCAGGCACTTCCTTATAATGTGCATTCCTTTAAGCACTCTACACCATGGCTTCAGTGGTGTAGCAGTAGAGCACAGTGCCGGTACAGCCTGGGTTCAACCCCTGGCCACATCACTTGTTTTAAGTTTCTTAGTTGAGCTCATCCTTCCTCTTGTACATTAGCTTGGCACTATCTCCCTAAAAC